GCCACCAGGGGACCCCGCGCCCGGCCGAGGGGGGCACAGGGTGGAGCAGGAGCTGGGCCTGACCGAGGGGGCTCCAGAGCCGCCAGCCCCGCCAGCAGCCTGAGCCGGAAAGAGGGTGCGTGGGCAGGGGAGGGGGGGCCTGCCTTCTGTGGCCCGGCCGTGAGTCTCGTCCCTGTCTAGGCGCAGCCCTGCCCTCGGCCAGTTCCCACTCACGCCTGCCTGACCGCATCCTGAGACATAAAAGCGCCCAGGCCCACCGGCCGGCGTGGCTCAGGGATTGAGCCTCGATCTATGAGCCAGGAGGTCACGGTTGGATTCCCGGTCGGGGCACAGGCCCGGGTGGCGGGCTCGATCCCCAGTGTGGGGCATGCAGGAGGCAGCTGGTCCATGATTCCCTCTCATCACTGATGTTTCTACCTCCCTCTCCCTCTCCCCTCCTCTCTGAATCAATGAAAATAGATTTAAAACCAAAACGCTAGCTGGGCAGGCGGAGACCAGGGGCCGGAGGGGCTACTGCAACCCCCGACTCCCCCAGGCTGCCGCCGGGGACCCAGGGAGGCTGGGTCGCGGCCCTGCACCCCCTCCCAGCATTTCCCTCCGCCCGGGCCTGTCTCCCACACTGGGGAACTCGCACAGGCGCACCCCCACCCACGGCCCCGGGACCAGCACGGCTGGATCTGTGAGGGTCGCTGACGAAGGGCTCAACCCCTTCAGGGACCTGAGCTCAGCTCTGGCTGCCGGGTGGGGGGGGGATGGTCTGGGCCCTCCTGTACCCTCTCGACCCTCCTCCAGCCCCTGCAGGCTCGGGATGGAGATTTTATTTCTCTGGGCGCGAGGCCCCCGCCCGCTTGTGTCCTCGCTCTTCCCCAAAGAGAACGCCCAACCGACCGACCGATCGACCGACGGGGCGCGGTGGCCGAGGGCAGGATGGAAGGACCCACGTCCCTCCCGCAGGCTGCTCATGGCCCAGGGATGCAGGCAGCCCAGCCCCGAGGGCGAGGTCAGAGGAGGGTCAGACAAGGGTCAAAAAAAAAGTGCCGGTCAAGGGCGGGCACAACAGCCTCCCACGTGTCCTGGCTCCTGCTTCTCGCCCTCGCCGGGGCCCAGCTGTGGCCAGAAAGGACCGGAGGGCTGTGGGCAGCAGGCGAAAGGGCTGACCCTGCTCGCGAGGGACCACCGGCACTCCTGGTCCTTGTGCCAGGAGATGGGGGTGGGGGCAGAGCTGGGGTCTAAATGTACGGCACCAACGCAGACGGAGCGACCCACGGACTTTCCGAGCACGGCATCCACACCGCCCGGCCCGCCCCCCAGGCCCCATGCTCCCCCCCACATCCCCCCCAGGTGACGGGAGCAGAGGACAGGCTGTGACAAGCAACCGCACGCCCCTCCCCGAGCGAGCCCCCAGCTCCAGCCGGTCGGTCAGGGGGGCAGTCAGAGGCCAGGCAGCCGCCAGGAGAGGAGGAAACAGGGGCGGGAAGGGGCCTGGGGGGCCGAGGAGAGGAGGGGTGCATGCTGAGGACAGGGGTGCAGGCGGGAGGGGCCGAGAGAGAGAGGAGTGAGCGAGAGGGTTGGGAGGGGGGCGCGGCCGTCTGTGTACCTCAGGACCTCGGACATAGAGGAGTCGCTGTCATCAGACCTGGGAGGGCAGAAAGTTAGCCGGATTAGGGGGGCGGGGCGGGCACACACAGGGCGCAGAGCAGCAGGTCAGGGGCGGTTATTCTCGGCGAGGGGAGTGGAGAGAGGCAGAGGGAGGAGGCGCCGGGGGACAGCAGGGCGGAGGAGGGGGGCGGGCTGGCCTGGGCGCTGGGGAGGCCCGCAGCTGACAGGGTAGGATGGGGGGGCCCCCCCTGAGGACGACGTGGGATTGCCGGCCCCACACTCTGGGGAGACTGCTCCTGGGCTGTTGGCTGCCCCATCCACAAGCTGGGGGCTCCCGCCCCCCCTCACCCCCCCGCAATGCTGGGGCCTGCCTGCTCCTCCCACCTGGGAGGAGACTGCCTGGAGCTGGCTGTGCACCTCACATGAGCCCCAGGACCTGGACGCCCAGATGGGATTGAGGTCTAGATGACCCCTGGATGGACTGGGGTCTGGATGACCCCGGATGGACCCAAGTGTGGGTGACCCCCGGATGAGACCGAGGTCTGGTTGACCCCTGGATGGATTGGGGTCTGGATGACCCCTGGATGAACCCAAGTGTGGGTGACCCCCGGATGAGACCGAGGTCTGGACGACCCCTGGATGGATTGGGGTCTGGATGACCCACAGGCTGGGATGGCGAGAGACTGTGAAGGTGGGCGGAAGGGGGCACTTGGTTGGGGGACACCAGGTTGGGAGGGGACCCTGGTTGGCGTGGGCCAGAGTGGGGCTGGCAGGGAGTGTGAAGAGGAGCGCGTGGAGGACAGGCCCCCTGCCCCTGGGCAGAGCCCCCGTTAGGGACACGGCAGCTGGGTCCCAGCCCCAGGCCCTCGGCCGGCTGTGCGCTTCCTGGGCGGACACCCGCGGGCCTGCCTGAGCCCTGTTCCCCTCCTGTGAGGTGGGCAGGCCGTGCTCACGGCTGAGCTGTGGCTCAGGGGAAACCTCTGGGTGAAAGCAGGTGCCACATGGGATGGCTGTCACCCCCATCACACCAGCAGGGGGCGCACCCTGGGGTGAGTCGACCCAGACACGGGAAGGTGACGGGGACAGTGCGCGGGGGGCCTGAGCGTTTGGGGAGCGGAGGGGGCTGGCGAGGCTGCAGGAAGGGGCTTCTGAGAATCCAGGAGCCAGCCACGGAGGATTCGGGGTCGTCTGGGGGCCTGAGCGCCCCTGTCCGTCCCTGCTAGCTCGCTCCCGAGGTCCCAGCTCCCTCAGGGAACAGACGGGTCCCCGGTCAAGACGGAAAAGACAGAGATGCCAGGAGTGGGACCGGAACAGAATGTCTGGAGGCTGCCCAGCTGCACCAGCCCTGCCCACGCCCACGCCCACGCCCACGCCCACGCCCACACCCACATGTTAAGTGAGCTAAGCCCCGTGATGGTCCTTCACCCGGGAGCTATTTACTGAGCTCCTGTCACAGGGCACGCACTGTGCCAGGTTCTCCAGACACATCAGTGAACAGAACAGAACGAGGGCCCTTGTCCATCGCGGAGCCCTGGCTCTGATTGCTGGTCAGACGCGAGAAGACGTTGCGATCGTTGCGTGGCCGCGTGGGCGGGGACGAGGGGGGCGTGAATCCCACGTCTGTGGACCTGCCAAGCGGGGACAGAGAGCGGCATGTCAGTGTCGGGGCCATTCTGACTCCGTCTGACCTCAGACACACGTGTCGTGGCTGGTGGTTCCCGGTGGTTACAGCGTCGACCTAGGAACCAGGAGATCAGGGTTCGATTCCCGGTCGGGGCACAGGCCCGGGTTGTGGGCTCGATCCCCAGTGTGGGGCGTGCAGGAGGCAGCCGATCCATGATTCTTTCTCATCATGGATGTTTCTCTCTCTCTCCCTCTCCCTTCCTCTCTGACGTCAATAAAAATCTATTAAAAATAAAAGAAGGGGCTGAAGGACATCTGGGCAACGATGGAAACACCAGCAGGGAGCACCCACCCACCAGCGATTTTAGCTGCGGGTTTGGCCTCGGTTCTAGGTGCCGATGGAGGTTGTGCGTCCGGAG